GTGTCGGGACATGGAATGGGTTGTAATAAGCCAGCAGGAGCTGAAGTTGGTCGTTTCCGGCGTTGACAAAGTGCGCAAGAAGCGATATATTTAGCCACAAAGGTAGAAAGACCAGGCCAGAAGAAACGGCTCCTAACGCGGTTGTAGGTCTTTTGAAATCCCAAGTGTCCAGCTGATGGTTCGTCGTGCAATGCTTCGAGAACTTGTTTTCGCAGCGAACGGGGAAGTACTGGCACCCACCGATGCCCATCCGCATTGTAAGTATAGTGCTGCAGGACATTGTTCTCTAGCTTGAACAGCCGTAGCTGACGACGTAGTCTGGCATTAGGTGGAGAAGGCGAGCCATTCAAGTATCCGGTGATGCGGTTACAGTAGGGGTCGTCACGTTGGTACGCGGCAAACTGGGCGCTGCTGTTTAAAGATAGTGACCCAGCAACTGCCAGGGGTGATAACGTGAGTGAAGAGGAAGCCGCTTGATCACCTGAGGGGCATTGAGGATGCGTGGTTGGAGATGAAAGTGGCAGAGGGCAGCGAGAGAGAGCGTCAGCATCCTGATGCTGTTTGCCGGACCTGTACACAACGTCAAAAGTGTACTCTTGCAAACGCAGTATTCAGCGACCGAGGCGGCCTGACAAATTCTTCAGCGAGGACAACCAGCATTGGGCATGGTGGTCGGTAACCACAGTGAAGTGGCGCCCATACAGATAAGGTCGAAATTTCTGGATGGCCCACACGACAGCGAGACATTCCTGCTCTGTTATCGAGTAGTTCTGCTCTGCAGGTGTTAGTGCGCGGCTGGCATACGCAACTACTCTCTCACGTGAAGTGTCGTCGCGCTGGAGGAGGACAGCACCGATTCCGTGGCCGCTGGCATCTGTGTGCAGGAAAGTGGGTGCACTCTCATCGAAGTGTCGGAGGACGGGGTCTGATGTCAAAGCACGCTTAAGGGCTTGGAAAGCACACTCGCACTCGTTAGTCCACGTGAAATCCGTCCCTGACGTCAGAAGCTTGTGTAACGGCCCCGCAATGGCAGCAAAGTGACGGATGAAGCGGCGGAAGTAAGACGCCAGGCCCATGAAACTTCGCAATTGTTTTTGATTGCGCGGACATGGAAAACTAATTACGGCAGCAACCTTGTCGGGGTCGGGTCGAACGCCGTCTTTGCTCACAAGGTGACCCAATACTTTGATGCTTGTGCTGGCGAAGTGGCAATTTTTTGTATTGAGCTGTAGGCCAGCGTTCGAAATGCACGTTAGAACTTCGTCCAATCGCTTAAGGTGCTGAGAAAAAGTAGATGAATAGATGACGATGTCGTCTAAATAACATAAACAGGTTTTCCATTTGAGACCACGTAAGACGGTATCTATCATGCGCTCGAATGTTGCTGGAGCGTTGCATAAGCCAAAGGGCATGACGTTAAATTCGTAAAGCCCGTCAGGCGTCGCAAACGCTGTTTTCTCCTTGTCTGCTTCGCGCATAGGTATTTGCCAATACCCGCATCGGAGGTCGAGGCTGGATAAATATTCTGCGCCTTGTAGGGAGTCCAGGGCATCATCTATGCGTGGCAACGGATATGCGTCTTTTTTCGTGATCTTATTGAGCGCTCTGTAATCAACACAAAAGCGGACAGAGCCATCCTTTTTCCGGACCAACACCACAGGAGACGACCAGGAGCTGGATGAAGGTCGAATAATATCCCGTTTGAGCATGTCGGCGACGTTCTCCTCAATGATTTGCCGTTCTGCCGAAGAGAGACGGTATGGGCGGCGGCGTACAATGGAGCTGCCTTCTGTTTCGATGCTGTGCTCTGCAACGGAGGTGCGGCCCAGAACTTGCAATGTACATCAAACGAAAGGCTGTGCTTTTGGAGAAGGTCTAAGAGGTCTCTCTTTTGCTCGGCAGTGAGGTGAGGACTTATGGTGTCATTTAAGGTAACAGTGGTAGCCTTGATATCAGTAGTAGCAGACAAAGGCGGTGATTCTGCGTGAAGGGGAACCAGCGAAAAGGGCTCACTGTCAGCGAAGCAGCTCACAGCAGTGCCCTGGGGCAGCATCACTGGCGAAGAAGTTGGATTCAAGGCGGTGACCAATGCTTTACCGTCGTTAAACCGCACAAGGCCGGGTGCTATGGTAAGCCCTGCAGGTTTGGAGCGAACTGATGGAGCTATGAACACGTCACCATCAACTATAGTATCCGAAGCGATCGTTAGAAGTTGTTCATCTCCTGGCGAAATGAAACAATCAGTGGCAGCAACGAAACGGAAGCTGTATGGATCGACATCCGATGAACTCTCAGTAGCTGACATTTGAATGACTCGCTGACGACACGATATGAAAGCTGATGCCGAAGAAAGGAAGTCCCATCCTAAAATTACTGTGTGAGTGCACAAAGGAAGTACAAGAAACTGAATGTGATGAAGGATGCCATCTATGAAAACGCGGACTGTGCAAACACTTGAAGGCTGAATAGGGACTCCATCTGCGCAACGAAGGGGAGGACC